TTAAGTATAAGGTGAAGTCTCAAGCAATATTTCGAATATGAAATGAATGCACTATAAATTGAGCAGGCAATTTCCGGGCTTTAATCTTATAAATGTTACTTTGGAAACTCTGGAGAGGGCAATTTTAACTCGCTACTTAACTCCGTCAATTATCTAGCGTTTCTGAACGAATGGGACTACAGGTTTAAACTGTCTTAACTTCCTGTTCAAAATCAGAATGTGAAGTCTGTATATAATTGAGAATTAACTTGAAGTAGTTCAAACCCCTTATTAATTTATTTTCTTCTCAACTCTCTAACCCTTTTAACTACTTTTCGACTCCAATTGGCTTTATTCACGTGCATGCTCTTACATTAGAAATATTGAATGATTATTTCATTTGCATTATAATAATTTATCTTGATACCAGATCTCATTTAAATTGGTTCAAAAGATTTGCAGTTAACGACAAAACATAAAGATATTTCTTAATTTTGATGACCAGTGTGTCACAGAAGAGATCAAGAGCCGCGTCGCTTTCATGTGGCACCCCATTATTCGGCACTTCCTTATAAAAGACTGTATACTTAAAAGTATACTTATATGTATATATCATCTGAAGCGTATCGATTAATTTATTTTATATATTTTTATTTTTAGGCATTTACTTTCTAAAAATATTTGTACTTCATTTAGTATCCTAAAGCGCCATTTTTTTCTTCAGTTTTATAAAAGAAGGTTGCTCAATTTAAGCAACAGGTTTATGCAGGTTTAAACAACAGGCTGTAAGCTAAGTGATTTGGAGTTATTATTTTGTGCTAATATACCCCTATTGATCCCTGTATTTTGTAATAATATATTGAAGCCCACAGTAAGACCCAATATGGTTACTTTGACAAATCGCAGAAATGATTTAAAAATCTTCTTATAAGTCTGTCAACCAAATGCACCATTGCAGTTTAATATTAAAGAGCAACAAATTGCCATTGCCGGGGGTCCCTGGTTCAAAACCCGGTGACGTCCAATTTTAAAAAAATTATATTTAAGAATAATAATTTTCTTTTACTTATTTTACAATATTGTAACATGAGTAAAATAATTCTTTACATAATAGTATGTTTTTTCTGAGTGAGAAATATGATAAAAGAATTAAAATTAAGAAATTATTGCTCTTATACTTCACATATATGTATGGGAATATATCTCCTCTTAATATTAACCTATAATTTTCAAACTTGGTCAGATATTTGATTATAATAGATTATATTATCATACCAAAGGAAATAATTATAGACAAATTACGGTATCCACAAAGTGGCTCAATAAGATTACATTAACAAACCGCAGAAATTACTTTAAAGGCTTATTATGATGCGGTCAGCTAGATAGACAGGTAGGGTTTAGTAATATGGAGCAACAAAATGCTAGTGCTGGGGGACCTGGTTCGAAATCCGACAACGGTTAATTTTTTACAAAATTTTATTTCATAATGATAATTTTTTTAATATTTATTTTACAATAATGGGACTTAAATAAAATATTCATTTACTTAATAACATGATTTTTTTTCCTAAGTCCATAATATAATTAATAAAAACATTAAAATTAAGTATTTGTTGCTCTTATACAGTGTACATATATATATACACCGAACAGCCATTACATTATGACCACCCTTCATCTATAACAATGGGCTCGCCCAGGTTTTCATGGTTTCTCGCCCAGGAGCAATGTCTTCATGGGGCACATTAGAACCCATAATACTCATAGAACAATCCCTGACGTCTGTAAGCTACTTGAACTTAGTTGCAGACCAGGTTCACCCATGCATGGCAACAGTTTTTCCTGCGGGATGGTGTTTACCGACAGGATAATGCACCATGTCATAAGGGTCGAATCGTCATGGATTGATTCAAGGAACATTCTAGTGACTTTCAAGTCATGTCTTGGCCCCCAAATTCACCTGACCTTAATCCAATAGAGCATTTGTAGTCCTACTTTGAAAACCAAATTTGTGCTGCCACGCTACCCCTTCGCAATGTGAGGGAATTGCAGGACCAGTTTATGAGCGCTTGGTACCAGATACCTCAGACTAACTATCAGCACCTTGTGGAATCAATGCCACGGCGAGAGCTAGCAGTTTTGAAGGCTAAAGGTGGTCCTACATGTTATTAGCAGGGTGGTCATAATGTAATGGCTCTTCGGTGTATATGGCCTCATATCGCCTCTTGATAATAACCTATAATTTTCAAACTCGGTAAGATATTATCTTATAATATATTATCGTATTATACCAAAGGTATATCGATAAAAATTTTGCACTGGTAATTAATCTGGTTTCAATAGACCACATATGATTTGACAATGCAAGCTCCCTAACCCATATTTTATGCGAAGGAAAATGTCCTCTTTACTGTTTATTCTGCAATATAAAACCTAACTAAAATAATGAATATTAACTAATACTAAAACTTAGCTAAATAATAAGCCAGGATTTAATTCCTAGAAGTAATAATACATCTTCTGGCTACCTAAGACAAAATTACTGACGTATCCCTAGTAGTACAGAGGTCAGGTGTTAGAACTTGTCGTCAGACTAACCGTGAGAGATTCCCTTTATTTTCATTACCAAGTAGCTGAAATAAAGTTAGTTAGTTCACCCGCAAAATGGCCTCCTGGAAAATCAAAGTGCTTTAATGCTTGATTCAGTAGATAACTTGTCTTCTGAAATAGGTTTAAAACTTCTTGGCTACAAAATAAAACTCTGTAATCACAAATCTAATTTGGGTTGTTTGCTCAATGCATGTTATATAAATATAAGAGCAAATTAAAATAAGCTAAATGTAATATACTTCAATTAAATAAAATTTGACTCTTTCAAAGAAATTTTTTATTCAGGTTGTTTTAGTCAAACATTTAATGATAAATTCTTTTTCTTATTATATTAAAAGCTTATTCAAAATTTATTAATAAAATAAACACCTGCAAACTTTTTTTTTCTAATGAAGATGACATTTTCAGCGGTCCTTTTTTTTTAAAGTGTTTATCGATTCAATTTTATTGAACTTAGTACTCTCTTATCTTAGAAAAACGGCCTGAATGATTAAAAAAAAAAAAAAAAAACGAAAGAAAGAAAAAATAGCAAAAACGAAGGAAGAAAATGCATGGTAGGGGGATCTTTGCTTTTCAATAGAGGTTTGATTGAAACGTGTATTTGCATATTGAAACGTTAAAAAAAAAAAAAAAACACATGTAAAAAATGAGTTTGCTTAATACACTTTTTTTTCCGTCGTAATAATTGCGAACGTTAAAACTAAAAGCTCAGATATTCCCCTATTGCTAGAATAAAATAAAATATTCCATTAAAATGAAAATTGAATAGCATCTAAAAAGGACTGAAAGATTATTATTCATTTTTTTTATTTAATCAATTCCTTGTAAAAGTCTGGGGATTTAATAGAATTCAATAAAATAAATGTATGGTGAAAAAAGTATAAAACGACTTCTGTATTTTTGAAAATCATTAAAAACTTTGAAGATTGTTTCCATGTGTGTTTGATTTTTGAACCAGCTAAAATCATTTTTTTATTACAAAGTATTTTTTTTTTAAATTTTTCATAGTATGCGAATTCAGCATTCAAAAAGGTTTATAGTTTTTAATCGTTACCAATGCTTGTATGTGTGTGTGTGTCTGAATGTGAAAGTTGAAATTTATTCATTTTGTTGCTATTCAAAATCTTACTGTCTTGTTGATTTAGTTGTCGTGCCACTTAAGTAATGTTTTTTTTTTTCTCAAAAAATTTCTAATGATATCTAATAAATGAAACATCATCATTTTAAATATGTTTTTAGAATGCAATAATATACAGTAAATTTCAAATGAATCAAATTCTGTAGTTTTTATTAAAACAAAAGTAGTATTTTGAAATTTTGAAGATTTAAAAAAAATATCTGAATCATTTAAAGATTGATTATCTTCGAGTTTTTAGGTCTGATCCGACTTCGTACGACCTTTGATTAGAAACAAGAAAAAGTTTTTTTCGGTAAAAACAATAGATGCTAGGAAAAAATCTGAAAAAATAATTCTGCCAAAAAAATATTCTAAGAAAAATGGTAGAAAATATTCATTTAAAAAAATTATTATGGAATTATTTTGTTACTGGGTTTTTCTCATGTAAGAATCTATTAAAAGAATCCTTTAAAAAATTTATTGCCTAAAAGAATCGATTTTTAATGTTTAAAAAAATTCTATTAATCTATTATTTAAAAAATCATTTTTGATTAATAAAAACTCTTGTCATATTTCTTTTGGACGTCGTCAAAAATTTTAAAAACAATTCACATTGCATTAGATCAAAAGCTAATTAATAATGCACACTGCACCGGATCAACCTACAGCAACCGGATCCAGCACAGTGTACAGGATCAAAACCTAACTAACAATTTGCACCACACCAGCCCAAAGGCCTAATTAACAATGCATGCTGCACCAATTCAAAAGTTTAATTACCTCAGAGATCTTTCTTGATGAAAATCGTATACTGTCCGAAGTTTTAGAATGTTTTGAACGACAATATCAGTCAGATAAAAAAATAAAAAGTATAGAATGAAATCCTACAATCTTCATAGGATACTAAGTTGAAAAATACTTTTTTACTTCTTAACTCGTCTACAGAAGTTAAAAATCTTCTTAAACTTAATTACGCAATATTATTTTTATTACACAATAAAGTCAGCGTAGGTGTTTCATTTAAATATGTTATTAAGTTTGCAGAAAATACTACGATTCATGGTAGCAATATTATGGTTTAATGTTTAATCCATTTTTTTTTAAAGTTTAGGAGTTTAATAACGAAATACGTTTTTAAACAAGAAAGCTACAAATAGCTTTCTTGTTTTAAAAAAAGGAACTCCAGAAAAATCTAATATTTTTCAACCATTGCATTAGGAATTTTGTCACTTGAAACAACGGCAATTTTAATATTAAATATCCAATTATTGATTTTTCTTTGTTGTTTTAGTTCGACCTTTAGAAGTGTCCATTGAAGGCAATCGAAGACCCCTTTCAGCTAACAAACCCGTGGAGCTTGTGTGCCGAGCAACGGGATCCAGACCACCAGCCTCCATCAGTTGGTGGAAAGGGAACACCAAGATGAAGAGGACGAAAGAGAGGATATCCATAGATGGTTATGTCACCACCAGCATACTCATCTTCACTCCGACGAGCGAAGACAGCGGCAAATATTTATCCTGTAGAGCTGAGAATCCTTTGATACAGGGGAGTGCCATCGAAGATGGCTGGAAGCTTGACATAAACTGTAAGTTAAGACTTATGTAACATAAGTTGATTGCGGCAAAGTTGTTTGCTTGTGCTCAAAATTTATAATATTTCAACTTCCTGATACGGGAAAATTATTGTATCAAATCTTACAAGGTGGAATAAAATTCCACCTATGTGAAACAGAGATTTAGGTATTTTATCCGTAGATTCAAGTAGCCATCTAAATAATAATCCAAAATGGCCTCAAAGACAGTTGATCAAATTAATCATGCAGATAGTTGTCCAGAGAGACCATGTGATCATCTATTTTTCTGTCAATTGCGTTAAAACTCCTGTTGACTAACCTTAATTCATTAACTGAGCTGATAAAACAAATATGAGAATGTAACGGATAGTTAATTCGTAACACCAGATGGCGCTACCCCTATATCCGCAAAAACAATAACAATGGTCTTATTCTGACTTAATTGGAGACGACGCAAGACGTGCTCTGCGAACCATCCTGGTTCCCCTTTTCCCACTCATTTGAGTAAAACTTTCAAGTATTTTTTATGTTAGTTAATGTTACGTTATTACCCTTTATTGTTAAATGTTTAATGTGAATGTATAATTAAAGTACTGAGCTCTTTATGATGGTGTATCTCTTCCACCGTCTTGCGTCCTTACAAGAATTCTTTTGGTTGGTAGCTCTCAGTAGATCAGGGTGCGAAATTTTTACTCTCCCGCTCACCATTGACGACCGAATATTTAGGATTAGTGAGTAAATTTTGCATTGTAAAATGCTGTACTCCATTGAATAGAACTACTACTCATATTTTTCCCAGTGTTAGCATTTAGATCCGATATCAAATTATCAGTGCGTAACTTTGGCAAACCATTATAGATAAAAGAAGGCCTCAGCACTAGTTAGCATAAACCAGAACTTTGATCCTATAGTAGTCCAAACGTAATGACATCTTTCGTATTTACAACCACTGCGCAGCTTAGTAGCTCGAACGTAATGACATCTTTCTTACTTTTTATCCATAGCGCAGTTTATGTTCGTTACGTCGGATTTTATTTTATATTTTATAACCGTCGTTGAACAGCCCACCCAATTTTATGGGTTTACGACAACTAATGTTCAACTCTGTAGCCTTGTAATTTTGAACCCAATCCAGAATACAAGGGAATTACTGGATCGAGTATTGGGAGAAATTTGCCTTCGTGGAGGACTTTTTGATGGAGCTAACCCACATTTGCATTACATGGAGAGGAAGACCACGAGAACCTCCCACGGTTAGCCTGACGCAAGGGGACTCTAACCCTTGATCCGTCTACCACTGAGGATATTTCACGTCAGTACTGTGGTCGGTGCAAGCCGGATGAGGAATTCGTATCGACTGGGATTCGAACCAGGTTCGCCTCATTGGAAGGCGAACGCTCTATCCCCTGAGCCATCGCGGCTCCGTTACGTCGGATTAATAGATGTATCCGCGCTGAGGCTTTCTTTCTTCTAGGAAGTTGGGCTGATAGAGAGACGCTCAAAAATGTCACGAAAATAGTCGACCAAAGTAACCATGGAAATAAACGGGTAAAAAAAGGAATTTTCTAAAAACTCGCAAGGCAGTTAAAGATGGATTAAATATTATGGTTAGACTAAATATGGTTATTATAAAAGTAGAATTAGAACAAGTTAGAACACTATTGTTAAGTTGGGATGAGTCAGGGCAAATTAATCACTTGGCCTCTTTGTTCGACCTAAGCCACTTTTTTTTAGCTAACATGTACAATTTAGAACAACAACAGAATTACCAAACTTGTTTTTTAAAGGTTATTATTTTTACAAGTGCATCATTAAAAAGCTCTAGTCCTAAAACTACTTTAAGCTATTGAATAAAAATTTTTAAACGGATTGAGGTCGAATTGTTTGTCTTAGTTGTAAAACAATTGTGCTCGTCGAGTTTCATTATCCAATTTATAATATTTGTAAAATACTACAAAACAATAATATTTCAAATAATTTAATATGATTTCGTTTATTTGGAAGAAAAGGAAATACTAATAAAAATAAGAGAATTTGAGACAAGGGCATTAAAAGACATTGTAGCTAACTTTTTATTTATATTTTGTAAATGATTTCAAATCATATTTCTTGAATAGCTTAAATATTGTTAAATATAATTACATATAACTTAATATAAAGATTAAAGTATCAGTTTATTCAGAGTGCTCGTACTTCATTGTAATGATTACTAGCTCTAGAAATTGTTTCGAATACAATATTTTTTACAGTCAAATAATATTGAATACCCGCAAAACATGCTTGTCTGATCAAATTTATAATTTCCCATAAGTCCCTTTTCTTGAAATGCACCCTTTTCTAATCTCATTATAATACAAAAGTCTTGAGAAAATATACTGAATTAAATTCTTATTAAGTGTTAAAAAGTTTAGCTATCTGGACAAAATTCAAAGCTAGTATTAAAATATGCACCTAACATAAAAATAAATCTTTAAGAAAAACTAAAATCTTGCAAAACGTATTCAAATATACAGTGCGCCAAATAAAAAAACGGACCATCCTGAATAACTTTTGTTCAAATGATCGAATCTTCACGCTTTAGAACTCAATCTTAAAGGGTCAAGGGGGTGACCTCAAATATGCTAATTAATTAGTACGGGCGATATTTTAAGTTAAAAAATCAGACACAAAGACATACTTTCTCTGAATAAACATGCCTTTTTTTCAAAGTATTTAGATTTCTGATCCCCAAAATATAGGAGTAGCCGTAACCTGGGAAATATGGTCCCAATAGTTTTTTCAGGAGAGTGGTTCTAAGTTTGAACCCCTTCATGCTAATTTTACCATATCTCGAGTTCTTTTTAAGTGAATTGAAAAAGTTTCGCGTATAATTAGATATTTTTATTTATTCAAAGGTAAGTCCATGCACAATATAACTTTTAATAAATATTCATTATTTTTTATTATTTTGCTTAATAAAAGTCCGAAAAATTTTGAATTGTAAGGTATACAATTTCTTTAAACATTTTAAGGAATGCAATTTTAAATGATAAAATACAAAATTTGAACGAAATCGGTTAAATAGTTCCTGAGAAATCGAATTTTAAGTATACGACTTTTTCAAAAAATTTTCGAATTATGGTGAGCGCAGAAAATAAAATTAACATAAAGGGATCTAAACTTTGAACTGCTCACCTGACCAAACTGCTGGGACTATACTTCACAGATTGTGGCAACCCCCTATATTTTAATGTTCAAAAATCAGAATTCGTCGAAAAAAATGTACGCTTATTCAGAGAATGCACTTTTTTGTCTCTGATTTCGTAACTTAAAATATCGTCTGCACTAATTAATTAGCATATTTGATGTCACTCACTTGGACCATTAAGATTGAGTCCTAGTAAGAAGAACTGATGATTAGATCAAAAGTTATTCAGAGTGTTCTGTTTTTCATTTTGCGCACTGTACATACAATTTTTTCTTATTTTAGGCTTAGAAAGTCATAAAATATGCAGAAATATATATAAAAAAAAAACTAGTTGGGCTACTATCTTATTATGCTCCGTCGCCAAACGACAGCTTGGCGCAAGAAGTTTTGTAATATTGAAACAAAGTGCTTCTGGGCTTAGAGCTAAAATGATACACATGCTATATTCCTTTCAAAATTATTTCATTTTAATCCCGAACAGAATTTAAAACCTTGAAATAAAACTTCCATCTAACTACCAATTTTTGAAAATCGAGCTTCTTGCTCGATAAAACAATTCCATTGCTGCTATTGTACTTAGAATAAGTTTTTTAAAAAAAGGCACAAGTTCAAAGCCATTACCATTTTAATCAAAAGACGAGTTCAGTTCAAAGCATTAAAGGGGAGATCCAGGAATTCTTTATCGAATGTGTAATAGAATTTTGTCCATCCAACCTTAAAATCTGAAGAACTTTGAGGCTTCACTAATTTTAACATCAACACCGCTATCAAACGATATATTTTTTATTCTACGATCATTTTCCGTTTTCTGTCTGTTGTGGTGGTTAGAAGGCTGCTGACCGTGAAAGAGATCACTGCATTTAATGAACTGACCCTTGTGCTCGCTTGACCGCGAAATACGAGATTCATGGATAAGAGTAGTAAGGATTCTTGGATACTCGCCAGGCTTTCAAAGTCACCCGGGAAATACAGAAGGGGGTGGCGAAAGTTCGGATTAAATGGCATCTAGCTTTTATCCACGTTCAAATCTGTTTTTTTTTTTTCTTTTTTAAATATTTAAAGCTAGACATGTCCTACGAATCAGTCACGTTTCAATGATAAAGTAAGCAGTACTCATTATTTGAATAAAGAAAACATTTTTCTTTTATTTCACATAAAGTATAACATGGTTTTTAAATGAAATATAATTTATCGATTAAAAAACATATAATAATTTAAATATTAAGTGCAAAATACACGTCACATTTAATTAATTAAATTTCTAAATATTTTAAAAACAGTGACATCTAAATATTTAACTTTTAGTTATTTTGAATTTTAAAAAAAACTAGTTAGAAACGATAAGGTAACAGAAAATAATTACAATTTAGAATGTATCGTGAAAAAAAGAAGTTTTATTTAAGGCTGTTGTTTAAAGATTTTCGTTAAAGAAGAAAGCATTTTAGCAAAGAAAATGCTCTTTTTTTTTCTCATGTGAGCTTGTTGAAAGTTATCATAACTCTTAAATTAAGGTTAGGTTCGTCTTTAGTCGTGGCTCTCAATGCCAATCATAAAAATAGCACAAAATGTCAAGGAAGTAAAACCACGGTTTTGTGTTCTAACTTATTGAGATTTGCTTAGCTACCCTAACGCTGTATAATTTGGATTCCTTAAAATATGTAAAAATTAGGAACCATTTCACTACTGAATTATCTGGGTTCATAAAATATCCTAACAGTGATTTTGATAGTTTCCATCTCATTGAAAGAATCTCGCCGAATCGATGATTTTTTTAAATAATAATATCTTTTAAAATAACTTTAATTTATTTGTCCGTGCTAAAGCT